ATTAAATATATTTATTTAATAATATATAAAAATTATCAACAATTTAAGTAATTCAGTGATAATTTTTTTTTGCTGAAAGTAAAATATTTTAAATTCGAATCGCATAGCATACAAGTAAAATAGGATAAAAAGTAAAAGATGATTGTCTTCTATTGTGGAATTAAAATATATATATAAATTATATAAAAAAGTTATCCTTATATTATTGCTCTAATATTAATTACGTTTTAGGAGGAAGTATACGAATTCAGGACTGAAATTGACTACTCTTGATTTTAGGAATGGTTTAGTGTAGATGACTGTATTACTCTTTTAAAGTTTTTCTCGTTCATTATATATATCGGAGTGGTTGAGAGGGTAAAATTCGAAGAAAAAAAAAAGATTAATAAATACAACATTGGTTTTCAAAAACGTCAATTAAAGAAATGCACGCTACAGGCCAGCGGCATACTTCATGAGGAATTCAGTGTCGGGGCTATGTTCAGACCAGGGTTATTGATTTCGTACTTTACTGGTTGGGACAGTTGGTATGTAGCAATGTTTTTGTACTCGGTCTGGTGGCTGATCCGTTTTGGTCATCGGTTTGGTTCAACAGTTCACTCGATCGGTTCAATTGGTTGACTAAAAAGTAAAAACCTTTTTTTTTTTTTTTTAACATTTTTACACCCGAGGCAAATGCAAATCTATTTTGTCAGTGGAAGAAGGAGAGGAAGGGCAATGGCGAAGGGTTGAGAATCGGGGAGGCAGTTGGTTGCTGGTGACTTCGCTGCTTTGTTTTCTTTTTGCTTTCTGGTTGTTTCTGCACAGAGACGAAGGGCTTGCGTTTTGGTTTTGCTTCTGCAGAGACAAAGGACTGGAAGCCGCAGATGGAGGCCACGAGCAAGCAACAGGTTCTCGATTTCTGGCTGAGATCCGAGGAGGTAGTTGTGGAGTCACCGACGGCTGAGATTGGGGAGGCAGTTGGTCGCCAGTGACTTTGCTACTCTGTTTTCTTTCTGCTTTTTGGCTCTTCTATATAGAGATGAAAGACTTGCTTTCTGGCTTTGCTTCTGCAGAGACAAAGGACTAGAAACCGTAGACAAAGGCCACGAGCGAGCAGCAGGTTCGCGATCTCTAGCTGAGATCGGGCAGGGAAAGGCCGGCGGTGATGACTGGTGCGTGGTACTGGTGGTGGTCTGGTGGTGTTGTTCTTCTATTCCCCTGCTCTCTTTTGTTTCTAATTTCTCTTGGGTTTGCTTTTGCAATTTGCTGCGATTTTAATTTTTAATTAAAGTTAATGGTGTGGGTAATTAACTAATTACATTAAAAATTAAATAAATTAATTTAATTAATATTAACTCATTAAAAAGTAAAAACTCAAATTCATTTAGCTCGGCGGGTTAGGCGGGTTAGGCGGTTTCAATTCAATAGGTTGAGCGGGCACCAGCGGACCAAAACAGGTGAACTTGTAAAACGGGTTAAGGTACTGGCCTGGCCCGTTTTTAAATCCAGGTTTAGTTCAACCGGTTCAATCGATCGGTCCAGGTTGGGTCCAAAAACACTATAGTGATTTGAGAGTAAAATTAGTATATTATATTTTAAAGGGTTCTTTTAATATGTTTTTTAAGGTATAATTAAAGAATATTTTTTCAATATTTTTTTTTTGAGTTGTCGAGGGATAAGCTCGAAGTTCACCCATGGAGAAAGGGGAATCCACCTCAAGCTAGTTGGGTGCTAGTTGACTCGAAGAGTCAGGTGTGAATATTTTCTCAATATTAGTTATCATTAAAAAAATAAAATTTAATATTTATTTAATCATTCATTTAATTAAAATAATACATGTAACATTAGTAATAAAATTAATATTAATTTTTATTATTTTTATATTAATTAATATAAAAATATATATATTAATTATACCATGTAATTTAAGAGCACATGTTAAATAAATTTCATTTTAAATTTGCATTATGTGAAATATCGATTGCATTGCATAAATAATGGTTGTGGTTGTATTGACAGGTGTACGAATCAAAATTTAACGTAGTGGTTAATACACACGAACAACACAAATAGAAAAAAAGTTAAAAAAAAAAAAGTTTAAATGCAAAAGGAAAATAGTTGGTATATATTTAGTTTAATATATTTTTTGACACATTTTTAGTGTAACTATTAAAAATATAATATAAATATAGTCAATTTAATCAATTTTTACATCTTATGTGTGTGATTGTATTTTTAAATTTATTTACTTTTAATTTTATACTAAAAAATAATGATTTTTTAATAAATGTGTTATACAATATGTTAAATCAAATGTATACTAATCACTATCCAATGCAAAATATTACCTTAAATATAATCTTAGTTATATCCAAATAAAACAAAAAAAAAAAATGAAACGAGAATTTGAAAAATGTGGGTTTCTTTTGAAGCCTAATAATATAGAGCATAAAAAAGGGGGCTAATCTTTACCATTTTTTTTTTTTAAAGGGCTAACTGTAATAGTGTAATAGTTTTTAAAAATTACAAAAATCTTTTAAGCAACAAATACAAAACTTCATTGAAATATTAAATAAAAAAGTGAAATTTTTAAAGAGAGAGAAGATAAGCAATGTGTTTTAGATTATTAATAATTAGAAAAAGAAAAATGCTGTAAAGTTAAAGCATTGGAGGGATTTTAGTCTTTTAAAAGATCAATGAGAGGTGAGGTTATATGTGGTAGATTTAAATCTACTTATTATGACAAATTAATTATAATTTATTCTTTTTTTAATACTATATAAATATTATGATGTATATTTATATTTATAAGTATAATGGTAAAAGTTTATGTTTTATAAAATATTTATAGTAATAAATCTAAAACAATATATAATATTATCCAATATATAATACGTATTGTA